CAATAAAAAGGGAAAGCACAGGGGTGGTCGGGAATTCCTTATTCATGTGTAACCCATTTGGTGCCGTTGATTTCTTCTGGATGTAAGGAACAAAATATATCAGGAATTAGGGATACCATCCAGTAGCACTGGAATAAGGCCTAACATTTTTTTCTTGATTCATTTTTTTTACACACACTGTAAAAAGAACAAAGCATTACACTGTTGATGTTATATGCATATACATTTACTACACGCCATCTAGCATTTTACTACCAAGCCTGTAAAGACCGATTATGCACATTGGGAAAAACACAAACTCCATATGTGACTCTAAGGATATAATTTACAAGGTAGTTAAACTTATATTATTTTGTATGCATATAACGATGTATAAGACTTTAAAGTGTGTCGCACTAATGTAATTGGTTAAAGTTACGTTTTTTTTTAATCTTCATCATACATTTATTTGCAAAAGGATAATAAAATATTTAATTCAGTCTACTTTCTTTTTAGCAAACTGCATGTTTCATGGGCTGTCCTTGACTTAAAACTTTACTTCTGATCATATCGGTCCGAGATCTCCCCTCGGAATTCAGTGCATTGAGAAAGTCTGCTAATGATGAGAAGCATTGTTAAATTATTTCATTCTGATTTTTTTTTTTCAAATCCTTGCCAAACTATTAATACATTAATGGAATGTGCAACAGACGTATTAATCTCAACATACTGTGTAACGATCAAACACATATAAAATTAAACTTACATGCAATTTGTTTTCCTGATATCCCTATTTTAGACATTTATTTAAATGTAACCAAGAAGGTGTAATATGTTCACGCATGCTCCCCCCCTCCAGATTTATTTTTTTGAGTAAATTTCTATCCCATGCTGAAGGAAATATTTATTAAAGAAAAAAAAAAAACAATAAAAACAGCCAATTGCTTAAAGCCTATGACTATATTTTTTCTATTTTAAATGCTGAGTTCAGGCATTGAAAATGACCTTTCTCTTTTGAATAAAAAATAATTTCCTTGTAATCATGTATATATTGTATGAAGTACACGATCTTTTTAAAGCAACAATGATCAATATCATACATTCAATAAAAATTTCGATAATAAAAAGAAAACAGGGGGAAAAAAAAGAAAAACAAGTATCGGGTTCTTTCAAATAAATAAATCAGTTGTCTTTAAAGAAAATGACAACGACCCTACGACGCAGCACAGTTAAGGTTACAAATTGAAATATCGGCGATTTTTATGCGCTCGGATCGAAAGATCCGATGCGTATATTGTTTTTGTCCTGTCTGTCTGTTTGTCTGTTTTTCTGCAAACTTTAACCTTCACTATAACTTTTGAACCATAAAAGACAGAGACTACATATTTGATATGCATAATTCACTAATTAAGCTCTTTCAAATGACACCAAGGTCAAAGACCTTGTTCAAAATATAAGTTGATCAGCCTCTCACTTTGTACAAACTGCGTCAATTTTGCGAGATGACGTTATATTGACAAGTGCATCGCGATCGATGCGTCGTTTATGTACTGTTGCGTGGGATTCAACAAACGTCAAAACTGCATGTTATGGTAAGTTTGTATGTAGTATACAGCTATCCAGCTGTTGAAATAGCAAACAATTTCATTTTGTGTTATTTTGGTGACCTTATATAATGTGTACGTCAAAGTAAACATTTTCCGTACAAATTAGGCCTCGCCTCCTAACTGTAACCTTACCCGTGCTGCGCATCGACTCTCGGATTTTACACGTTAGTGTCCCTAACAACATTAGGGGCACTAACTATGACAACAAGACAGGTATTTTAAACGACTATATCAATTCCATACATGTGTACCTCGATCAAAGTTATTAAAAAAAAATACATACACTGGCATAGCTATGTCTCATTGCTTAAAAATAATTACCAAAATGTTAAATAATTGTTTAAACCAAAAAAAAAAAAAGAAAAAAGAAGAAACATTCATACTCTGCAGAATTCAATGAATACATTGATATCCCGAATAATGAGACGTGTGATTTTGGAGTGTGAATTTTGTCAAAGGACAAGATAGGGTAACAGCCGAATCTGGCCCCTTATTTGATATAAAAAAATCAGAACACTGGTAAAACCGTGATAGTTTGTAGTTAAGAAGTTAAAATGATGCTTATGTTAAGAAAAGCACTAATTTTGATTCAAAGCCTACATGGAAGCCACAAGAGGGTGCAGAAATAAGACATTTTCCCGAATGTCCTCAATTCTAGTGGAATTTCATCATATTTGGGATTTTTACACATATACTGCATCTGATATCAGTGTATAAAATATATAAATTTGTCAGATAGGCAAGCGTGTGCTCTATGTTTTCCGAAAGAAAATGTGCTGTAAAATTAGTGAAAATTTGCATAAAAATGAGAAATTCAAAAAATGACCTATTTCCTTACCTCACTGTGACCCCTGTATATCATAAATCTTAAAACAATACTCATTTTGTGGCAGGAGTGAAAACTGGTTTTCATGGATAAACTGTTGGATCATTCTGAAAGACACCCCAAATCGGGGGCCAAATACTGTTCTTACCCTATCTTGTCCTTTTAAAAATTTATTTTTTTCACTTTTTCACATATATTGGATATACAAAAAATGAAATGTATCCTCAATTTTACCACAAATAATGACTAAAATATAGTACGTGACACAGGTTTAATGATTTGGGTGCAACAAGTCAACAGAAGAATTCCCAATGATAAGTCCTTAAAATGACCTTATACTTTACGGAATGCCGACTTCAAAGCTGAACTTGATTCTTAAAAGGTTTACCTTTCATATTCGTTATTGGAGAACCAGACAAAAATGGCGGATGCATTACTTTTACGATCTTGTGCGCCTCTTTAAACGAAGTTGTTTAAATTCCAGAATATGGATCCCCTATTGATAGGTATCATCCAATTAAATCCAATTAAAACCAATGCACGTATCTTGAAGACAGAAAATTCCCTAGCAAAATTCCGTAAAAAAGAAAAGGTTTAGAATTGGTATAAAACGCGTCAATCAAAAGCGTCCAAAAGTTGGGCCATCATAAGTACCGTCGAATTAATGGATTATCCACTTTAGAAGAGATTGTTGTTATTCCCGTAACATGAACTGCTTTTTTAATTTAACAGAATGTAGTTTTATACATATATTTTTGTATTGGTTATACAAAATATCGTTTGTTTAAAAAATGATTCAATTCATTTTGATTTTAAATTATAATCCAGAAAAATCAATTCAGAGAGAAATATTCGGAAACAATTCTTATACACACAGTATATTGTTAGTTCGTGCAGTTGTAGTGAGCAGACTTAAACCTAAAGGATTGCTAATCAAACAATCGTAAACCACAGCAAGCATAACAAGCTCGTGCCCTATTTACAAAAAAATAAGTACGTTCCACAAGTGTTTTTAATAGAGGTGTAACAATACAGCAATACATCGATACGTATTATCACAAGGTCTCACGATACGCATATCGTATTGCCATGTATGTATCGTGATACAGTACAAGTTACTGTTCATTGTCTTATTTTAAATTTTTTTCATCGAAACTGAAATTTATTGTTACAAAATGATTGAAAACAAGGTTACAATGAAAAATCATAATGATTAGACTATATGCCCTCCTCTAAATAACTTTGATTTTGGGTCTCAAGATAGTTTTCTTTAGTATTTTCTATAACTGTAGAGGTTAACAAGCAAGAATACTTAAAGATACCATAAATTTTGACTGTTGACAGCTGTATCATGATACATGTTGTATCGCAAGACCATATCGTGATATGTATCGTATCGTTAGATAGCTTGCGATACTCAGGCCTAATTTTTAATTTGCTAAACTCTGTACATGGAACTAAAGCTAAATGGCGACTCTTGTGAAGGGTTTTTTGTTTTCGAACATTTCTACTCCGAATATAATTATTTTTTTCTGCATAAAATTTTAGATACGAGGGCCGTTCAAAATTGAGGCGGACTGTGCTATTAGTTACTCTTACAGACGCTATATCTCATAAGTAGTTTTCGGTTTTAAAACAAAAAAAAAAGAATATTCTTTACTTGTTTAATAGATTTTAAGCTTGACAAGAAATGGTGTTTTGATGTTGAGTAGATAAGATAACTCAAACTATACAGGTACTCAAGAGAAAATGAAAGCTCAATCACATATTTTTTATTATGGTTGGGACTTCGAAGATTTTGCTGCGCAGTGACTTTATGGTATATCCTGAAAAATCGCTCAAAATTAATACCAATTTACAACATTTTGATATGAAATTTTGAAGACCATATAAGTAAAGATTCTTTTATATTATTTGTGAAATTTTGCCTGTTTATGTCGTCAAAATTTCTTCTGTGCATCAAGTCCGCATAATTTTTGAACGGCCCTCGTATGCTCATTGATACACAAGATTGCCACTTTTCCTAAGTATTAAGAATAAAGATAAAATTTGTGAAAGTACATGGGGTGTTAATCAAACCCATTAAAACATTTAAAGTTCCAATAACTTTTAGATGAAATGCCCCTGTAAGATGTTTAATATATCTTTATGTGAAATGCTATTACAATATATTCATGTATGTAGTTATATTATACATAATTTATAAGCTAATATTCACGTATAAGCAACATGTACACGTTGCAAACTCAAAGAAGCAAGTTTTAATTTTTTTATTACGCATTGCCAGAAAATGTCCTTAATTTGTATATTTACTGAATAAAACATACTACTTTTATTAGCAGAGTCTAATTGTTTCTTGTGAGGGCTCTCACAAAAGAATTGTTCCAGAACCACGGGCACTTGTTTCGGTAATCGTTTTTAAGCCAGGGTATTATAATTTAACCATTGGTTTAATGTTTATTACCGAAACGAGTGCTTGTGTCCAGAACATATATATTTCTATATAACCTCATATATTGTAAATTGAAGTGACTCAAAACATTCAGAATTATGGCGATCCAAGCACTATTTTGACTTATTTATTCACTAAAATTGTATATTTATTCTAGTACAACTGACTCAACAATAGAAGAAAGGTTATGAGATGGAGTCGAGAATACCCTATTTTGTCATCGGGTAAGTATAAACTAAAATCATCCATACATGTATTTTAATATATTTAACTTGGTACTGGAAAGATAAAGAAAAGTTAGAAATAAGGTCCAAGTGCTATATAAAACAGTCAAAGTAGATATAGAGCGGAACTGTTCTTATTGATATTAAGTAATTATTAACAAGGGCCTTTCACCCCTTGTAATGATCGGGAATACTGAAACTCGAAAGAAAGCTACTTATAAAGGAATCATTTCTAAGAAAAATGTCAGCCAACATTTGGCTTTCCCGTTTATTGTGTTTTATGCGTTAGTGTTTTGTCATGGAAAGAACTAACATGGGCCGTTGGCCTCCTGTTCAATCCATGTTCATTGTATACTTCTTTTATATATGAATTATGAATAAAATACTTTTTTAACTAATGTTTTGTTAGAATTTTGAAAATTGTGACATAAATCTATGAAATATATAGAGATACCGAACGGTTTAACATCTTAAATTCCATTAAGCAATACAAATCCTGAGGAGCACCAACTACTTAAAGCCGCTTGGTCCGATTCTAATCGCTAAAAATATATATTTGTTTTTCTTCTTGAAAAATAATTGTCCATAAATTGTTTGAACTTTTGTCAAATTATATCCCCAAAGTCTTTTTCTTTTAAAAGATATCAAAATTCAAAAGTTAAAAAAATTATTTTTGTTAGGTCACACAAAAAATAATCCTATGTTGATCATTGTTGATATCGCGTGAAATCACCTTCGAAAATTTAAATTTATCGCTTACATGTTTATCTCATGAAGAACAAACCCGAGCATATTTTTTCACAACAAAGTACCTGTTCAAGGACATTATTTTAGCTCCTTTAAAAATCATTTAAAATATCTGATCTTTCCTTTAATTTTTATATATGCATATTAATATAAAAGTTACTATGGATTATATTCAATTCATTTCTTAATTTTGAAAAGATGTATTATGACTAAGGCTTCTACTAATAGAGAAAAAATACTCGGGTTTGAATTATCTTCATTATTAGATATATCCGATAAACTTATTTTTTTTTCAAAATTGACTTCACAACAGATCTTAACTTCCGCCAGAAACTACTGTTTGTCAATAAGGTTTTTGATCTGCATTTTCCATGTAAGGATTGTTGTAATAAACTATTAAATCAATCTTATAACTTATTTTTATATATTATCTATGTAATGACGTACTTTTATTGTGTAAGATAAGATGTGCCTGTTTCGGGTTAAGCGGCTTTAAGAGTCAAAATCAGCAAGCATCGAGCATTGAATGGAAAGTCAAAATTTTATTTTTTCAAAAGCTTTTGTTATATGAAAGATTTTATCTTATCTAATGCTAAAACACAATTAAATTTTTTTTCGAACGTATGAAGGGACTGGTATCCAAGGAAATTCATTTCCTTAGCAACGGGTTCATAAATCCTTATGAAAATCAATGATTTTTAGACATTTTACTACGAATTTTTTTTCGCAGCACAGTTAAGGTTACAAAAAGGAGGCGGAGCCTAATTTGTACGGGAAAACTTGACTATGACATCATACACAACATACGTCATACAACATTTCTTTAAAATACCACAAAATGAGTTTATCTGCTAATTTAACCAGTAAGAAATCATTTAACTACATAAAAACTTACTACAGCGTCTTGTTTTGTTGTTAGTTAAATCCCACATCACAAGTTATAGACAAGTCACTGATCGCAATATATTTGTAAATATGACGTCATTTCTTACAACGTGACGTATTTTGTATGCAGTGAGAGACAGATCAAGTAATATTTTCTCAACAAAATATGTATTCTCTAATTAAATAAAATATTATTTACAGATATTCTATGGGCAAATAACTTGAATTTAATGTTTTCTTCACTATTTTGTTAATATATTTTCTGTACATTACGTATTTAATTGACACTGCCGTATATTTGTATGCAAGTACATCGGAGGGTAAGGTGGGGGTCTTGATAAATCGATCTAGTGCAAGGGCATACACTCTATGGATCAAAGTAAGCTTTTATATTTCAACGATAGAACTATTAAGGTATCTGAAAAGTGCTGCGATCCTGATGAAATCTTAAAAACAATTTAATTATTTCAATATTTCATGTCGCTGACCAGCAAAAAATATAGCATTCGGTCATACAAATATAATTTTAACAATGAAATTGCAGAATTTAGACAGGATCGCTGCACTTTTTAGAAACTACAATGTGTGTTGAAAATATTTATATACTATACTTGGAAATTTTACTTGGTTATGCCCTTGCACTAGTGATATTTGTATGTAACATCAATACTTCAAGTCAATGTGCTAAAATCGCACGACTGCCGCATCACGTGACTAGTCTAAATATAAAATATAATCGTCCTCGATATGTAGTTATTAATCATATTTACAATTATCCGATATAAATAATGTACTAAAAATAATCGCCATCCCGATTACGAATACATTTTTAAATCCAAAATTTAGTCGATATTTCCATTGTGCACCTTAACTGTACTGCGTTCTGAACGTGATAAGATAAGGTATTTTGGTTACCTTATTTGTTAAAAGATGGAATTACTTTATTCTCCAAAAATAGGAAAAACAAAATTTCTGTAGTGATATTGTTGCCATGACAACGGGAAAAGAACATGGCGTCAATGCTTATTAATTTAGAAAAAAGTTACATATGTTTATCACTTTATTCAGAAAATCTACAACGGTTTTACTTACCACTGCTGGAAAAATGAATGGTATGATCTTGTTAGGGGTTATCTATATGTCATATCTATACAATAAAATTTGCAGGCAACTTTAGCAGACAAAAGTTACAAATGGTTAAAATGTGTGAAAATTTGGCATTTATAAGCTTTTTTGAAAGGGTTGGGGTAATTTGAATACATGTTCAGTGTCCATTATATTGGCCATTTTGGTTCTGATAAAAGCATTCTCATAAATTTACTATTGTTAATGAATAAATGCACATTTAATTTCAAAAGGAATTTTATATTCCTCACAAACGAAGCTTGGAAAGGGGGGGGGGTAGGAATCACCTTGTTCACCGATCCATATGTATGTTAAATTTTGACTTCAATGAGGTGCCACTTGATATTAAGATTGCTTGCGATCGAGAGATGTGTCAAAAACTTGACTCAAGGTCATTTGAACAAGTTCAAGGTAATTGGTAGAAGAAAAGTGCAACCTTTGCCCATTCTGTAACATTCTAATGAAAAGACTTGGTTTCATTTTGGGAATTATTTTTAAGCTGTAGGTTTGTCATTACCTTGACCAAAATTCATTTGAACATGTTTGCCCTTGACTCAAGGACATAACTTTTTCAAGGTCACTGCAGTAAAAGTGTACTATATGAATTTGGCACATTTACATATTTAACTTCGAATGAAGGGAAATGGGAAGTTTGTGCTCAACATAACGGTTTTACTACCTAATGACTTGAGTATTTGTCAAAGTCATTTTGGTATGTATATCTGCACTACCAAAATTTTACAAGGTTTCAAATTAGTATTTAGACCTTTTTTGTAATAAAAAAACATTTAATGCAATATCAGGAGGGTTGGTATCATTTTATTAGCTTGCTCACTATAATTCTTGTTTATGAAAGAGAGTCACTATGACAGCTCACATAATTATAAAGTAAAACCATGTCAACCAGGCTTGTAGCATCAGGTTTGGGTTGGGTAGGGGGATGACATCCCCCACCCAACTTTTTTCTCAACGTACCCTAATGTTTAACCACACCCCCTCCCGAGTTTGTCCGTTTGTCTTTCCGTCCGTCCGTCTTTCTGTCTGTCTGGAACGCTTTCGTTTCCACACGATATCTCGAGAACCCTCTGAGCTTTTGCAATGAAATTTAGCATAGGAATAGTTACTCCCTATGGACTAAAGAAGAACCCTATTGATTTTGTGGTCAAAAAGTCAAAGGTCAAGGTCATAATTAAACGAATTCTGTCTGTTATAACACTTTCCTTTCCACACAGTATCTCTAGAACCATCTGAGCTATTGCAATGAAATTTAATATAACAACTCCCCATGGCCTTATGAAGACCCCTATTGATTTTGAGGTCAAAAGGTCAAATTTAAAGGTCGTAAATTTATACATTCTCTCTGTGTGTAACACTATCATTTTCGGGAGATATTTCAAGAAGATTTTGAGCTTATGCAATGTATTTTATACCAAAACTCCCTAGGACCTCTCTCAAAGTGTCCAGCCCCGTTTGTTTTATTATAGTATTACATGTCGCTATTTTTAGCACAGGGGCATGAGGAGAGTTATTGCGTATAAAACGCATATACCAGAACTGTTTTAAAAAGTTTGAATTAGACACCATGTTTTGTGTAAATTTTTGACGATATCAAACGTGAATATACACATGTATGTGACTTCATATTTGCATATAATTGTCGAGATTGTGCAGCAGTTCCGTGGCGCAGTGGTATGTCTCCTGCTTCACATGCGAGAGGTCACGGGCTCGATTCTCTGACGATCATTTTTTTTCTTTTCCGAAATTCTTTTTTTTTACTAAATGATAGTATTCAGCAAGTGAAATGAAAAAAAATTATGATGTCTAGTTTGTAAAAACTCATCAAATCATGCATCATTACGTTGTGATAAATAACCCACATAAAAAGAATCTTCTATACACATGATTAAATCATCTTTTAATATTCACATTTTTTTGCTTCAGTATACATGTATACATTTAAAAATTCTACATATTCAATTAGGGGGATCCGAACCCCCCCCCCCCCCTCGCCCCGAATTGCGCATGGTTTACTTTTTTCCTAAGCGGGGGACACAAATTCTCTGATTTAGCTTGTTAGATTTACATGAATAAAAAATGCTAACAGATAAACAAAGAATGTTACTTTTGGATTGAACATTTTTATTTGATCCACTTTCATGAATACACTGTACAATTTATGGATCTATTTTCTGGATCCCTGAGTCTCTGGTAACACTATCCACTCACTTCCAGCATCAATGGTC